AACGGTCTTGTAATATTTTTTGATAATGCTACGGTCTTACCAGTCCACCACTATCAATAATTGTTCCCACTTGTGTTGCAAAAACTGCTGTGACACTGTTTGTTGTGAGTCACTTCTCTCGCCTCCCACCCCTTTTGTGTCGGTGTCACGTCGCCTTCCATTCGAATCTGCGGGCGCCTGACAATGACTCTCATGTCAAATTGAGCAGGCAAAAAAAAAATTAACACGAAAAGAAAGCGCAGCACTACAGGAACGGCGTGGATCCCCGTGCCAGGTTTTTAAAGTGTTCTTGCACTCGCGTTTTTTGTGGAGTTTTTTGTTCTGTGTTTTTTCATTGTTTCTGCGGGTTGCGCAAAACACCGAGGGAAACGAGCAAACAAACGCCCCGCTCTCTCACCGCGTCAATTGAGAGTGGCAGCGAGTGTCGTTGCACAATTGAGGGCAAAGAGGCTGCGCGGCGGACACCACTGCTGGTCGTGGACGCCGGGGTTGTGGACGGACATGAGCACGTTGTCGGCGCACCGTAGGCCTAGGTGTTAGGTTGGGGCAGCTGTGGCTGCATACTAAAATCTTCATAACTCCTTTCATATTAAGTGACTGTAACAATGCTCAGCTTACGCATTTTATAATACGCTTGTATGATCAAATTTCTTCATACTGGCGTATTAACAAATAATGCGGAAAGTTAAAAATATGTACAGCTTTCAGTAAGTTTTGAACAAAAGAAATTTGCCTACAGGGCTAAGACATAGACATTCCCCGACCAGGCCTCAAAGCTCCTCCAGTTTTTTCTTCAGCTCAAGTAGCTTCCCACCTTTTAAGCAGCGGCCGCTCCAGCTCCACCACCTGCGCCGGCAGCGCGCTCTATCAGCAGCTGCCGGCTTTGCCAAAACCCGGCGCTTCGCCGAGCGCCCTGGTGCTCTGGCAGACGGTGAGGAGGAAGTGGGAGGTCTCTTTACCCTGTTAAAGACAGTCTTGGTGACTATGTCTAAAAGTCCCTAAGATTTCAGTGTGTGTGGAGGGTAATAGCCCTGTCAATATCAGCGACAGGCGACAAAGTACAGTGTTTTGCTGCCAGGACTGCTCTGTGAGGCGCTCAGACGTAGCTCACTCAGGTGTGTGAGTATGTGTGCTTGGGTCTGGGGTAAATGGAGTTAGGGGTAGTTAAAGCGGGGCCGGGGATTTCGGGGG